ATCCACCAGCCTCTCTCCTCTGCTCCCTCCTGACTCCTCCCTCTATTCCTTCAGCCTCAGCATCTCACCTTTCTGAGTGGGCTGCCGCTGCTGCAGGAGAGGGAGCCGTCGCTAGGGGCCAACACTACCTGTGGAGCCAGGACCTCCCTTTCGGCCAGCAGTCGGTGGCTGGTGGCAGCATTCTGGGTCTTGTCCAGTAGCACGAGGTGGCGGCCTCGCACAGTCAGGCCTTCCCTGCTTGGACCCATCTCTACCAGGGGCTCATCCAAACCCTTTCCATCATCTGTGGACAATCTGCGGTGCACCTGGCAGACGGTTAACCAGAGAAAAGATGGGAGCCTGAGAGAGGAGGTGACCAGAAAGGAGGAGGTTTGGTGGAGAGTCCTGAATGGAGGATTAGATAGGGGTTGTGGGGACCATGAGGTGAGTCCCCTTCAGGGGATTGAGAGTAAAAAATTGGGTAGAGGAGCCAAGAAGATGTAGGATGAGGGAAGGGACAGGACCTAAAGTGGGGGCCTGGGCAGACAAGAGTCCTAGACAGGATGTGGGCAAGGAATTGACGGAGTGACCTAGAGAAAGGAATGAGGAGGGTGTTTCTCGTCTTAGAAAAATCTTAGTTTACGAATCCCATCCTGAGGTTCACCTGACAGAAAATCGGGACATAAACAAACAAATGATCAAGGACCAGTGGGGGATCACCAGTTAGTTAGGACAACCTGAGTAGAAAGAGTAAGTGTGGGGGTGACGTAATGTGAATGGAAACTAGTTTGAGGGCAGGTGGGGGTTCTTGAAAAAGCCTGGCGGGAGGATCCTGGCCTGGGACTCGGGTCCACTCACCATGAGCTCCAACGATCCATCCTTCTGGCTGCTGCCTCCCTGGGAGCGGTCAGTCAGCACTGTCAGCTGCATGTTCCCGTCCTGGGGAGAGGGTGTCTCGGTGAGAAGCATTCCTACATGCCTGCCCTACCTGCATGAAGGACACAGAGGTGGTGGGCACGAGCACACAGACTTGAGGATGAGATGCACTGTGGAGGTCAGGCTGGGGGTCTGAAGGTACCGTGATGTAAATGCGGCTGTTGACTGGGTAGTAGTTTCCTGCCACTGGATCAGTCTGGTTCAGGTCCCAGGTGGGCCGGTAATCCCTCCTAGAGTCAGGAGGAGGAAGTCTGCCAGGGCTGGTGATCGAACCCCCTAATCCCTCATCTCTTCCTCCAACACCCCCGTGACACTCACACACTCCCCTATCATTCTCTAGACTCAGGTGAACTGTAGACTGTCCTTTGCCTTATGGCCACCCCACCGCCACTCCACTCCTCTGTCGCACTCATCCTTACCTCCTCTCCACGATCTCCCGGCCATTGCTGTCCGTATAGAAACGCCCACCTGTCTTCAGCACCGTGGCAAAGCGACTGATGATTTCCTTTCCAGCATCATCTCTAAGCCAGATTCCATGCAAGAGGTTTAACCACACCCGAGGTTTACCATTCCCTGGGGCCCCCTGTGATCCAGCCATTGCCCACTTACATTGGTATTGGTCCCACTGTCCACTCGAGCTCCAAGTGTCTCTGTCCTGGGTACAGACGAACCACTTGGGAGCACCAGTCTGAGAACTTCTGGTGCACCTCCTGCACCAAGGCTGTCTGTTAGCATGGGGGACAGGTGGTGACTGGGGTAAGCCATAGCCTGAGCAGTGCGGAGTCCTACCGCGTTCTGCCTCAGCTGCAAACTCTACCCACCTGTAAACTCTGCCATAAGACCCACCTCCTAGAACCCTAACCCTAACCCTAATCTTAGCTTTAAACCAAACCCTAACCCTACCACAAGATCCACCTCCTAATGGTCCTGAAGTTGGCCCCTCATGTCTATCTAGTCTAGACTTTGCTCATTGTCCTCAATTTTCCCTGTTTCCATTGCACATGGAATAGCTGGTTTTTAGTTCTAAATCATATAAAATAATGTTACTTATTTAAAGTGCACAAGTTCTAAAATGTTTACACACACACACACACACCTTTCCACGAAATAATCAATTCAGTAAATTGCATAATGAACCTATACATCAGACTCAAAAGTGACTTCCCATTTTTGAGAACCTGTTTCACCCTTTGCTTAGCCATCACTGGTTTCTGCCATTATAGAGAGTTTCATTTTCTAAAATTTACATATAATTCTTAAAACCCCACTCCTCGGTTAGCATTTTCGACTGTGGTGGCTTGTATGTTATTGTGATACTGGCATATCAGACACCAACAGGGTCAGACATGATGAACAAATCACAGCAGCACTGCCAAACTAAGAAGAGAGTAGGAAGAAGGAAGAGGTTGTCTATTTTCAATGGAGTAGCCACTGACATTCAACATACAAACTATGGACCATAACAAACTATGGATATCCTTGAAAAGAATGGGCATCCCAGAACACTATTTTGTGTTCTTCAGGAACCTGTATACAGATCAAGAGGCAGGTGTGCAAACAGAGCCAGGGCATACCACATGGTTTTAAATCAGGCACTGTGTGTGCCAAGGCTGTATCCTCTCACCAGGCTTATTCAATCTGTATCCTGAGCAATTTATTAGAGAAACTGGATTTTATGAAGAAGAATGTGGCGTCAGAATTGGAAGAAGTGCAGCATGTTAATAACCTTCAATAAGCCGAAAGTGAGGAGGACTTGAAGCACTTGCTGATGAAGATCAAGGATTGCAGCCTTCAGTATGGATTGCAACTCACAGCTGGACCAATAGGTAACATCGTGATAAGTAGAGAAAAAGCTGAAGTGGTCAAGAATTTTGTCTTGCTTAGATCCACAATCAATGCTCATGAAAGCAGCAGTCGAGAGAGCAATAGACCAGCTGAATTGGGTAAATCTGCTGCACAAGACCTCTTTAGAGTGTTGCAAAGCAAAGATGTTACTTTGAGGACTAAGGTGCATCTGACCCCAGGTATGGTGTTTTCAATTGCCTCATATGCTTGTGAAAGTTGGACATTTAAGAAGATTGATTGAAGAAGAAATGATACATTTGAACTATGGTGTTCATGAAAAATATTGAAAGTGCCAAGGACTGCCAAGAGAACAAACATATTTTGGAAGAAGTACAGTCAGAAGGCTCCTTAGAGACAAGGACGAAGGGACTTAATCTCGTGTACTGTGGACACGTTGTCAGGAGAGACCAGTCCTTAGGGAAGGCCATCATGCTTGTTAAATGGAGCAGTGATAAAGAGTCAGGTCTGCGATGAGATGGATTGACACAGTGGTTGTAACAATGGACTCAAACATAAGAACAACTGTGAGGCTGGCGCAGGGCTGGGTAGTGTTTTGCTCTGTTGTTCTTCGGGTTGCTGTGAGTCAGAACTGATTACACAGTCAACCACAACAGTCAAGTACATACCATTGGGAAACCTGCTTCTTAGACATCAAAGCTTTTTGCAATTCATCCTTTCTCTTGTTGTTGTTGTTAGTTGCCTTCAATTCGGTTCTGACCTTATGCACAACAGAAGGAAACACTGTTAATGCTGCGCTAGTCTCCTAATTGTTCTCACATCCAAGGCCACTGTCGCAGCCTCTGTGTCAATCCATCTTGTTCAGGGCCTTCCTCTTTTTCATTGACCGTTTACTTTACCAGGCCTGATGTCTTTCTCCATGTGCTGGTCTCTCCTGACAACAAAAGTCTCTCTATCCTTGCCTTTAAGGAACATTCTGGCTGTACTTCTTCTGAGACAGATTTGTTGTTGTTGTTCTTTTGGGAGTCCATGGTATTCTCAGTATCCTTTTACAGCACCATAATTCAGACACATCGATTCTTCTTCGGTCATCCTTATTCGATGTGCAACTTTCACATGCCCATGAGGCAATTGAAAAGACCATGGCTTGGGTCGGGTGCACCTTAGTCCTCAATACAACATCCTTGCTTGGCAACTCTCTAAAGAGACCGTGTGCAACAGATTTATCCAAGACAATATTTCTTTTGCTCTCTTAGCTGCTACTTCCATTGATTGCGGATTCAAGCAGACAAAACCTTTGACAACTTCATTCTTGTCTCCATTTATCATGATGTTACCTATTGGTCCAGTTGTGAAGATTTTGGTCTTCTTTACATTGAGTTGTAATCCCTACTGAAGGCTGCAGTTCTTGATCTTCATCAGCACATGCTTCAAGTCATCCCCACTTTCAGCAAGCAGGATTGTGTCATCTGCATATTGCAAGTTGTTAATAAGCCTTCCTCCAATCCTGATACCACACTCTTCATATAAACCAGATTGTATCATTATTTGCTCAGCATTCAGATTGAATAAGGATGGCGTGTTCATCTGGGAAGACTAGAGAAACAAGCCCATGGAAACTCATATGTGTATAAGAGAGTTTTACATAAAGGGTAATTGTACATTAAGAAAGCATCCCAACACATTTCATTCCAAGCCAATAAGTCTGATATTAGCCTATATGCCTGATACCAATCTATAAAGTCCTCTTCAGACTCATAAAACACATGCAATGATGCCAAATGTAGGATGATCACAGACCAGTTGGTAGAAAGTCTTTGGATCCAGTGGTGTTGTAAGCATCTCAGCGCTGGCAGGGGTCTCCACGTGCCTTCTCCAGTTTCCAGGCCCCGGGTTCTATCAGTGTAGTGCCATGTGTCTTGTCAATAGTGTCTCTCAGGGAGTGAGTCTTGTCAGTAGAGAGTCTCCAAGGGAGTGAGTGGAGAGAGAAAGTATCTCCCATCTCCAAGGAGGACAACACAGGAGTTCTCAGAATTCTCAGGGGAAGGTCATGTCCACACAGAGGTCTCATCGGCTATAACCTGGTTGAGAGAGTAGACTCCACCCCTTTACTCTTAATCCCCTCAAGTCTCAAATTGACTCCAGATTATGTAACTACCACATATGGTGAGAGGATACAACCCTGATGCACATATTTCCTGATTTTAAGCAATGCAGTATTCTCTTGTTATTTTCACAAATGCCTCTTGATCCATGGACAAGTTACACATGAGCACAACATGTGCTCTGGAATTTCTGTTCTTCTCAGGGTTAACTATAGATTTTTTTTTTTTTTATGATTCACACAGTCGAATGAACTTGGCATAGTCAATAAAACACAAATAAATATGTTTCTGGTGCTTTTTTCTTTGAGTCAAGATTCATTTAGCAATGATATCCCTAGTTCTAAGTCTTCTTCTGAATCTTGTCTGAACATTTGGCAGCTCTCTGTCAATGTCAACAGGTTGCAACTGTTGTTGATCTTAAGCAAATTGTTACTTGCATGTGATAGCAATGGTATAATCTGAGCATTCTATTGGGTCACTTTTCTTTGAAATGGGTACAAATATGGATCTCTTTAGTCAGTTGGACAAGTAGCTGTCTTCCAAATTTCCTGGTATAGATGAGGAAGTGCTTCCAGTGCTTCATCAGCCTGTTGACAAATTTCAATTAATACTCCATCACTTCAAGGAGACTTTTTAAAGCTAATGCCTTCAGTGCAGTGTGAATCTTCCTTCAGCACCATTAGTTCTTGTCCATATGCTACCTCCTGAAATGATGGAAAGTTGATGTGTTCTCTTGATAAAGTGATTGCTTATTCTTTCCATCTTCTTTTGATGTTTCCTGCATCATGAACTATATTGCCCATAGAATCTTTCAAGATGGCAACTCAAGGATTGAATTTGTTCTTGAGTTCTTTCAGTGTAAGATAGGCTGTGTATGTTCTTCCCTTTTCGTTTTCTCATTCTATGTCTTGGCACATTTCATTATAACGTTCCACTTTGTCTTCTCCAGCTTCCCTTTGAAATGTTCCGGACAGCTCTTTGACTTCATTTCTCCGGTTTCCCTTAGCTACTCTAAGTTTAAGAGCAAATTTCAGAGTCGAACATTCACTTTGATCTTTTCTTTCTTTCCTGTCTTTTAATGACCCTTTGCTTTCTTCACGAATACGATTTTGATGTCTTCCCACGTCTCATCAGATCTTCTGTTTTTTGTGTTCAACGCATCAACTCTTGAGTTCTCAAAATTCAGGTGGGATAGACTTAAGGTCCTATTTTGGCTCTTTTGGACTTGTTTTAATTTACTTTAGCTTTAACCTGAATTTACACATGAGAAATTGGTGATCTGTTCTACAGTTAGCTCCTAGTCTGTTTTTCGCTGCTAATATTGGGGTTCTCCATCCTCTCCTCCCACAGATGCAGTCAATTTGATTTCTGTGTATTCAATCTGGAGTGGTCTATGTGTATAGTCGCCTTTTGTGTTGTTGGGGGTTAAAAAGGTATTTGTTATGAAGAAATCGTTGGTCTTGTAAAAGTCTATCATGTGCTCTCCAACCTTGCTTCTGTCACCAAGGTCTTATTTTCCAACTACTGTTTCTTCCTCTTTGTTTGCAACATTGGTATTCCAGTCACTCATCATGATCGATGCTTCTTGACTGAATATTTGATCGATTTCTAATGGAAGACGGTAGAAACCTTCAATTTCTTCATCACTAGCTTTTGTGGTTGGTTGAATAGTTGTACCGGTTGTGTTTCCTTGAATACAGATAGAGAAAATCCTATCACAGACAGCACTATAGTCAAGATAGATCTTGAAATATACTTTTGACAATGAATGCAATGCCACTCAAGCTTCTCGATGGTGTCATTCTCAGCAGAGTAAACCACATGATTTTCTGGTTACAAAGGGCCAACAGCACCAGTCCATTTCAGCTCCCTGTAACCTATGTCTTTATGCGGTCCCCTTCATTTTTGATGACTTCCAATTTTCCTACATTCATATTTTGTACGTTCCAAGGTACGGTGATTAGTAGATTTTTGCAGTTGTTTCATCTCACCTTGACTTGTGCCTCCATCAGCAAGTGAAGATCTTGCAGGCTGCGCTTCCACAGACTTTACTCCGTATGTCCCCACTGCTGACTCTACTGTGAGAAAGCAGCTCTTTCTCAGTCACATTTCCAGTGACCTCTGGCCGGAGAGGCCCACCTCAGGCCCGACCTCCAATGATACGCTGCTTCTATTCATTAGGTCTTCAGGATGTGACAATATTTCCATGCTACATGTAAGGTTTCAGGAGCACTTCCCCCTAAATGGGCAACCGGTTCCTTCTTCATAGTGTATTCTTGGTTTGGAAGCTTTACAGAAACCCGTTCACTTTGGGTGACCCTGCTGGCATTTGAAATACCAGCGACATAGCTACCATGAACACAGCAACACACAAGCCACCGCAGTATGACAAACTGACAGACAAGTGATCTATCTTAGGTGCATCGATTACATTAGGGAAACTGCGAACTTCACGCATGCTCAGCTCCATCTTGTCCATCGCCAGAAACAAAATGAGTATTGAGAATTTTATGTTTTGGGCTGTTAAATCCTTTCATATGGCTTTAAATGATTTTTACCTGGGAGATATTTATTTTTTTTAAAAGACCATTTTACTGGGGGCTCTTACAGCTCTTATAGCAGTTCATACATCAATGGTATCAAGCACATTTGTTGGGAGACACTTATTTCATTGCATATAGTTATGGCAATTCTGAGGTTTGCTTTTAAGCTTTGTGAGGTAGAACGAAAGCAACATTGTTGTGGTAGGTTTATTTCTGCCATCTTCAGACAATGATAGTCTTGTGAGCATTCTCTCTAAATACCCATGGATTTTGAGAATATACTGATCATGTTCAGAGCAGTGTTGCTTTTGTGTGGCTCTGGGATAGCAGCCAAAATAATGTCTTATGACAGTGACCCATGGGTAAACTATAGAAAAGCTACTCAAGGGCGAATCCTCAGATTTTCACATCACATGTGACGCTTTCAAAAAGATAAAATGTGAATTCGGTGAACACCAGCCTCCTGACCACCTCCTAGAGGACATTTCAGTGCCTGCCTGTATATGACTCCTACATGGCCCCTTCAGGTTCTTTCAAATGCAGAGTTAGAGTGGAATCATGGTTTCTACTATAGGAGAGTCTACCAATGTCCAATCAAGGTGCTAATATGCACCCCTGGGTAAACCCATTTTATAGTGCCCTTCAGATAGGCACAGGTAGCGCTGGTGTTGCTGTGGGTTAGGTATTGGGCTGGTCATCACAAGGTCAGTGGTTCAAACTCATCCACTGTTCCACAGCAGAAAGATGAAGCTGTTTGTCTTGGTAAAGATTTACCGTCTACAAAACCTTTGGTAAGATTAGTGTATGAATCAGAATAGATTCCGTGGCAGTGGGTTTAGCTTTGGTTTTACTAAGGTAGGCCATCCATAGCTATGAATGTGAATTCTCTGATGCAGAGTACAAGCTAAAACTTTCATACATCAAAAGAGAAAGCCCCAAACATCTGTTTCCATAACTAAAATCCCACAGATCAGATATAGCCCTTCAAGAGGCAACCACAGAGACAAAGCCCATCAATAACAAAATCACAGGACTTCAAAAAACAAAACCAACCCTCTCATTTTTGTGATGTAGATCCTCAGGTTTCCTAGCACCAGGCACACCAACAACCAGGCTTTCTCACCCGCACACGTACTTTCCTTTCCCCCACACCGTTTTTTGACACCCGCATCATTACCCCAGCTTCCACACCTTCACCAGGTGTGTCTCAGGTGAGAAACTCTTGGGCAGTGGATTCAAATCTTCAGGTGCAAAGACGTAGGCTCCTGAGATTAAGCTGGAGTTATACCTGAAGCAAGTGCAATCAAGAAGAGTGGGTCAAGACCAGTTCCGTTCCTGGACATCTTCCCAGAACTGGTGTCCACTCCTCACCAGAAGAAGGTCTGGTGGACTCGTAACAGAAGCTTCTGGTCCAGGTTCTCAATCTCCTTTAAGATCCCTGTTTGGGCATCAAACACAGCCCGGGTGTGCTGGAGAGAGAGGAGGCCAGTGTGAATGAGTCTTGTCCCCGCAATGCAAGCCCTGTCCATCCAGGCACTCAGAATATCACTAGCATAACGGCCATCTTTCATTTGTTTCACAACCCACGTTCTACAACGTTTGGACCAGTGGTCTCTCCACCATTGTCAGCCTTGATTATCTCCCTCCAGAAAACTGCTGTCCCTACCTGCCGGATCTCTTGCCTTCGTACCCTACCTACATGCCCAAGGAGTGAAATGCAGTCTTCCCTGTGGCTCTCTGAAACCTAAACTACTGGTCCACAACTCCCTGCCCTTATTTTACCCCTCACTCACTCTATTTTCAGTACACCGATCTGCATACAGTAGTTCAAACGGTCCATAAATGCTTTCTGTTGGAGTACCCCACCACAGACTCCTTTTTTTAATCGTTTTATTAGGGGCTCATACAACTCTTATCACAATCCATACATACATCAGTTGTGTAAAGTACATTTGTACATTCATTGCCCTCATCATTCTCAAAACATTTGCTCTCCACTTAAGGCCCTGGTATCAGGTCCTCATTTTTTCTCCTCCCTCCCTGCTCGCCCCTCTCTCATGAACCCTTGATAATTTATAAATTATTATTTTGTCATATCTTACCCTGTCGGACGTCTCCCTTCACCCACTTTTCTGTTGTCTGTCCCCCAGGAAAGAGGTCACATGTGGATCCTTGTAATTGGTTCCCACGTTCCAACCCACCCTCCCTCTACCCTCCCAGTATCGCCACTCACACCACTGGTCCTGAAGGGATCATCTGCCCTGGATTCCACGTGTTTCCAGTTCCTATCTGTACCAGTGTACATCCTCTGGTCTAGCCAGATTTGTAAGGTAGAATTGGGATCATGATAGTGGGGGGGGGGGGGGACAGGAAGCATTTAGGAACTAGAGGAAAGTTGTATTTTTCATCGTTGCTACATCGCACCCTGACTGGCTCGTCTCCTCCCCGATACCCTTCTGTAAGGGAATGTTCAGTGGTCTACAAATGGGCTTTGGGTCTCCCCTTCCGCCCTCCCCCATCATTCACTATGGTAAGATTTTTGGTTTTGATGATGCCTGCTACCTGATCCCTTCGACACCTTGTGATCGCACAGGCTGGTGTGCTTCTTCCAGGTGGGCGTTGTTGCTTCTGAGCTAGACGGCCGCTTGTTTACCTTCAAGTCTTTAAGACCCCACCACAGACTCCTGCATCGCTCACCTCTTTCCAGGGAATGACGGAGTGTTCTCTTCTGAGGGAGGCCTTCCTCTGGTCCATCCTTGCCACTCACTCACCCTGACAATATACAGTCTCTCCCCTTGATACATTTCAATCAAAATGTTAACTCTGATAAAAAATAACACACTCCTGTCACCTACAATGCGTTATTTAGCCTCTTTCTTGCCCTCTGTATCTCCTTGGACTTAATTTACTCTTTCTTGCCCCTTTCTCTCCTAGGAGTGAATTTCATTTTTCACTTCTTGATCACCATAGAACTCAGAGCTGTCAAGAGGAGAACGGTTTCAACGTTCGAGTCCTACCTCATTTTCAATAACCAGGTCAGAGGACTGGGGCTTTTGTAGGCCAGACTTGGTGAGGTCAGCTGGAGGGCTCTTCAGAGGGCCTTGGGTTACAGAGTAGATGCTGAATCCCAGAGGAGGTGCAGAGACCGTGAATAGCAGCTCAGGAGGGTGTGTTGTGCTGACCAGGGGTGGCTGCTGTACTACCTGATGCCATAGGAGGAGGGAAACGGAGACAGAGGTCTATGGATGCACACATACAGCCACCCTCTGGGTCAGGGTTGGGGTGGCCCAAGCTAATGTAAGGACTGCTCCTGATATAATAAGAAAAAGAAGAATGCTGTGAGAAATATTGGAGTGCATTCAGGGAGCAATTTATGAGAAAAAAGGAAGAGTCACTCATGGGGTAGAAACCAGTGCAGTAGGAGACTAAACGAGGGCTATTTATGGGGTTGAGTAGCCAATAGGTGAGATATACTCATGGGAGGATAGCTCTTCAAAGAGGATGCCGGGATATATATATATATATATATATATATAAAATCAAGATAGATTCATGACAGGTTATTTTGGATGGGACACTTTTCTGGGGATTAAATGGTCATGGGTGGGAGATATCCGTGGAGGTTCATAGTCATGGGGTGAGATATAAGGGGGGGGGCTCACATCACTGCGCACAGTCTGTCCATTAGGGTCCAGCACAACGAAATGGCCTTCGCTGACTGGCAACCTCAAAATCCAATTCACCTGGCGCCCCAGGGGGTTGTAGACGAGGACGTGGAACTAGGATAGGCGGTAGAAGCAGCTTATGTTTGCGCAGGCTTTATAGTACCCAGCCCACCAGTTCATGCCGTTGGGAGAGGCTGGCAGTATTTGCCAGTTCAATTCTATGAAGGACCTGCCTGAGTGTAGACAGGTCTACCACCAGCAGCTCTTAGAGAGACATCTGTTCAAGAGTATAATCCGTCATCGAACCCTTTGACTGTCCAAGTTCCTAGACCCTGACCCTGTCTCCACTTTACTTGTCCCAGTTTTCTCTGTGCCTGGTCCCGATCTCTCCACCTTCCTTCCGGAACCCTAGCTACTTATTTATTGGGCTGACCGAGGCCCTCCTAGTCCTTCCTGCTGCCACCGCCAGGAAGTCCCAGCTCTCCCATATTCTCCTCCTGCCTTCCACGTACTTCAACTGCCAGGACTGTGAGTCCTTCCTCTATGAGGCTCTGTCCACCCTGTCCTGGGTCTCTTACCACGGGTCCTGCTGCTGGTCCCAGCAGTTCAAGAGCAGAACCCCCTTTAAACCACACCCATTCCTGCAGGGACCCCCTTGTCTCAGGGCAGGCTCACGTTCGAAGGCTTTTGGCTGAGCGGGCAGACGCTGACGTTCAATTTGTGGCAGAACGTGAACTTCTGCTCGAAGCCGCTGAGTCTGGCCAGAGCATTGCTCAGGAGCACCTGGGAGGAGGGAGAGCAGAGGGGCGGGTCGTTCATGGCCCCTTCTCAAAGGACCCTCCGTGCGCCTGCTGTAGTTCACCCTACATTGTCCTTTTTGGGTTCCCTCCCAGGTGGTCAAGTGCTGCGCCCACGCAAGTCCAGGGATGCAGACTTTGGCCCTGCGGCTGCCGGGTTTTTCTCCCTTCTCTTCCTTGCCCCGCCCCTTCTGGCCCCGCCCTTACCTGCCGGTCCCGCCTCCCCCGCCCCCCTCTCCTGCGGACGCCTCCGCTCAC